TGCGTAAATTATTCAAGCATATTAATGGGCTTTTATGACCTGAGTTAGGAAATAAAACGGCCCTTTGCCCCGTAGAACCCCAGCAAAATTTAGCAATAACATGGCGTCCATATCCCGCGATCCCCGATCTTGAAGTTGCGCCCACCCAAACTAGAACCTCCCTAGTTTTGTGTCGAGATTTGTTTGCCCGCGGACATGATACTGAGGAAACTAGCCCTTTCAAACTCCGCTTTAAAAAGAAAAAAAAAGGTTAAGTCGGTGTTTTTGTTTAAAGAGCGCAGCTCTTAGGCGCCCGTTTCCGGATTGAGCGGCGTCGATGTCGGCGTAACGGCGCGGTGCATTATGGAACGCGTGACGTCACTGATGACGTCATCAGTGACGATGACGATGCCGGTACCGATGACGTCATCAGTGACGATGATGATGCCGTCATCAGTGACGTCACTGATGACGTCATCGCGATTACGTCATCGTCACGTGACCTCACAGTCGTCACGTGACCCCGGTGACGTCACGCGATCCTCGTGAGATGACGGCGACGCCCCTCGAAGGGAGGAGTAGCTGACAGGATGAGGAGGTGAGGAGAAGGGAGGAGGGGTACACCTTCCCCTCAGTACCCTTCTCTCCCCCTCCTCAAGAGCTGCGCTCTAATTCGGCGTTACAGGGAGTTGTAAACGGCTTTCATTTTTTATTGGTAACATTAAAGGGCATCCCCAGCCTAAAATGGGGGTCGTTAGTTTTATATAAAGTCCTTGTGGCAGATACCAGGACCTCCTCTTGGAGGTGTCCACGAAATTTCAGCTTTCCATTTGAGCAAAGCACATAAAGCACATCGTTAGAGGGAGAGCCGGACCAGTGGCACAGACCATGTCTTCAATCAACAGGGTGCTCACGCTGCTCGATTACAAGCTCGACCGCAAGCTGGGAGACTTCAAAGCCCGATTTCGCAAAGACCACCGCCCGGCCAACACCGGCACCAACCCCCGGAGCCTCCCCACAGGAGGGCTGAACTCCCTGCGTCGCCGGTAATTCGGCCGGCTCGTCTGCAAGTCGGACACGCCAGGAGCCCTCGCCAGGCGCTCGAGAGTCGAGACTGGCCTGCCAGAAGTAAGCAGCCAATGGCAGCCCCGCGAACACCGCTGCTCGGCCTAACGCACATATCATAATTACCATCAGTTTCATCTTGTATATTTACATCATCACATAACCACCATGACTATAGACGCGGCACCGCGGGCCTCCAGGGCTCGTGCCTCTCTGCGGTGCCGCGGCTCTCCTGGGCAAATATATTTTATTATTATTATTATTATTGTTATAAACGAGTCGTGACGTAACAGGGTCAGGATGCCGGCTCTTTAGGGCTCTCCTTCGACCACCCTCATCGGTCGCAACGTGACTTCGGGCTCATATTAGCAGCAACAGCGCAACACGAAGGACAAAAGGAGATGGCGCATAGGCCAAAACACAGCGTCGAGAGAGAGAGGATAAATCCTTATTGAACTAAAACGTTCAAAGTGGAGATTTTAGCAGCTGCAGGACCAGCGCCGACTACCCCAGACCATTGATTGAAATTATAAGCAGCATATAAATTTTACAAAAAAAAAATAATATGTATATATAATATACAAAAGGCTCGAGGTACGCCTAAGCACTTCTTATGGGTTGTGAATGCGAAAGCATGCATGCCGTTCCTGTGGCGTACTTGCGTCGACGGTTGAGCGCGCGCGCTCTTCTCGCCACACTGACCTTGGGCGTGGAGCTGCTACCTCGCGGACACGCAGCGCCATGGGGTGGCGCTAATTGAAACTGACACGCTGCGGGCTTCATATCACTGCCGTTTTGCGTGGCTTTCTGCGTGGTTTCAAGGCTGGGATGCCTCAGATCGCGGCTTCAGGAATTTACCTGCCGCTTGACGCGGCTGATGACGTCGGCTCGCTCCATGAGACAGTTAATGCTTTCGCATTAATAAAATAATCATTTACATATGTAGTGTCGAAAACCCAACGTCCCAGTACGTCCATCCATTCCTGATGAGAGGCACCGTCCCCGAACTACGCATCCGTCCTCAGTAGTATGAGGTATTCACGCTACCTGATCTCTGACCGACAGCCTCCAAAACGGTGTTCTGTCCCCTTAAAAAAAAAGCCGCAGCATAGCAACGGCATTTGTTCTTGTCAATAGTTCTCACTTATTTTGTCTCCCCCAGATAATCTACAAGATAGCCGATCACAGTTTGTTGGGTCCTTAGTGTGTTCCATGGACCAAGGAGTGTTGTGAGGGACAATGGGCAGTTATCGATGGTGGACATTTGTTCTCGAAGATGCTACCTCGTTCATCTGTATACCTCCGGCAGTTGATGAGTATGTGTTCTGCGTCTTCGTCACATGTGGTGCACAGCAACGCAGATGCTTCGCCACGGAAGATGTCGTGAAGCCGGTGGGGTTCGCCGCACCTGCCCAGTGGGGGAGCGTGACGTCACCGCCGGAGCCGTGTGAAAAGACGTGGCGCGCTGCTTGTAGGAATGCGCTGCGCGTAGGAATGCTTTCGCATTCCTACACGTAAGCAATTTAAAGTCTCTCTGCTGAATTTTTATTTGAACGTGACCTATATCATTTTCTTTCTCCCCCAAAACAGCCGGTCGACAATTCGCCGGTTACAGTCGCGCTCACTATTTTTCGTGGTCACGTATATTCAAAGTCGTGGGTCATCTAAGGCGCAGATTCATTATTAAAAATAAAAAAAAAATTATGAAATCCATTTCTGTGGCCTCCAAAAAGCTGCAAATACGCTGATCGAAAAAAAAAAAAAAAAGGTTTTGCACAGATCATATTCAATATGGCGACGTACCGCGGGCTGAACGACGCGATGGCGGCGCACAACGGACAGACGAATTGCGACGGACGTAGAGCCGCTACTTCGGAACTGTCGTTCATGGCACCGGCTAATCGATCTTCAAGAACAGAACATCGAGCGAAATGGATATAAGTGCGAAACGATCGCACGACAAACGGTTCACGCAACTTCGTCGTTGTCGTTTCACACGCAAAAAAAGCGGAGGAAAAAAAAACGCGGATGCGGTTACGTGATGAAATTCGGCCACGAGTTTCCCTGCTCGTGTTTCGATTTCGAGCAGTTTTTTTTTTTTTTTTTTTTTTTTTTTTTTTTATTATAGGTGACTATGTAGCATACTGTTGATTGGGTAGTCTCCGGACCCCATAATAAATCACCTAGCAAAAAAAAAATATTTTGGAGGGTGTTAGTGATTTTAAACAGCACAAGCCATCAGTTACTATAAAAAAAAAAAATAGAAGTAGCGGAGAAATTGAAGTTTCTTATTAGTACCGAACCCGGGAGGAAACTTTCCAAATTATAATTATTATAACACTGCTAAATAAATATTTCCTAGATCAAACTTTTATACTGCTAGACCAGGTGATGTAAAAGGGTTTAGATGAAACGGTGTTTGATGAAACTGTGTTTGATTCAAAGTCCAGATCCGTACTCTGGTCAGACAGCCTCCGCACTTGGATACTTCTCGCTTAGCTAAATTTTTTGTCGGAATGGTTTTAGCGAGTATGGCACCTCGCTGGGTGGAAGCCCGCGACATTCAGTGGAGCTGAATGCCGCGTTGTGGCACGGAACCGCACATACCTCGTGTTGGAGCGCAGCGCTGATAGATGGTCTTCCCAAATGCTTATCAAGGCCTTTGAAGTAGTGACAGGCCAGTTGACACACTTTTGGAAAGATGCTTGGAACGGCCGTGTGCTGCACGCTGCTGACTCAACTGGGGTATTACTAGTCGCTCATTGAAGCTCCTATGAACATTCCAGAGAAGCTGCAATCTGGAAAGAGGCAGATTTATGACCGAGGTGGAAGCCAACTATGCGCATGATAGCACCAAGGTGCACAACTGAATGTTTGGTCATTGGTGCCCTTAAAAACTACAAAACTGAAACCCCGGGAGGCGTATTGGAAAAACTTGTCAACAGGCCAATTTTGCCACTATGATTTTCATAAATGTTTACAGGGAGAGAGGCAAAAAAGCAGGCAAACAAGCCTGTTATTCACACGCAAGCCTTTAGCCAGCTTCCAGATTTGCTTACACTTATCAGGTAAGCAAATCAAGACCGAATCTGGTCATTCTCAATTTTTTTGCTCCCCTCCCCCCAAAAAACCATATTCAGTGAAGAGTGATTGACAGAAGGTCCATGAGCAGTGTTCAACCCATTAGTTTTCTCTACTCTCAGCCCAGACGACTGAGAGCATACAAAACGTTGATTGTATGTTTTACATACGAGGAGTGGGATGTGCATGCAAATAATGTGGATTCTTACTTTGTGGAGCAGGTAGGTTCACTTATAGAGCCTCATAATGGGGAGCAGGTGGATCAAGTCAGAGCCATAGAAATACAAAGTCAGAAACCTTTTGTAGCGTGGGCTACACTGGCCGAGGTTGAGCAGTTTCGCGTGGCTCGCATAATGAGCCGTGCTTCGTGCTGCGCAAGCGCGAGGAGCAGTGACGTCACACGGCGCACAACTGGCGCGCCGGAGCCGCCGCCGCCGCGCGCTTCGCCGCCACCGCGCGCGCCTCGCCGGTCTGCACATTCCAGAGGAGTGACATCATAGCTTTGGTAGGCGCACCGGCGCCGCCGCGTGCCCAGCTGTCCGCCTCCGTTGCGCAGTAGCCAAGTCTGACGCTGTACCAAAGCCGCTTGATGGCGCCTCTCATTTTGTGTGCATAAGACCACGCTACGTATATCCTGGCATAGCCGAGCTAAGCCACCGCAATTTTTTTGGTGCACCTTTCTGGAAAAAACTAAGGTAACACAGCCAGCAGATAAATTGCACTATAAAAAGTTTTATAATTGAAATATACTGCAAACGTTTCAGGTCACGTCTCTACAATACCAATAGAAAGCTCTCACAATGTCCCATTCCACATCTACAAACTTTTGCCACATGCTGAGGATGAGCACAAGAAATGCAAACGCAACACAATTCTGCTTCTTGTTGGCTATCTTGTACAAAGCGCCGCATTCATTTTATTACAAATTTCTCAGAGGAACGGGAGGAGATAATGTACAAGGCTTTGGAACAAAGTGAAAAATAAAAGCGCTCATTTTTTTTTTCTTCCAGAAAATGAATCTCGTCTATGTACAGATGATGCTTCAACAGTCCTGCCTCCGACACGGAGGAAATGACTCAGCACTTCTGGGTGTCCTTCTCACCCGCCCTGATGACCAATCAACCAACAATAACAACAGCGGCCGTAACAAGGCGGATGAGCTCTTTTCGTGGGAGATGGGATGAGCTATGTACACTGTACACATGCCGTCGGGGTCGCACTGCTTTTTAGTTGAGGAAGCCTCTGCACTGTGGAGCACCACACAGACAGGAGATCTTCTCTTCCTCCAAGGGGAACTTGTAGTCGTACGTGATTTCTTCGTTGACGTTGATGGGCTGCTTTGAGTAGATGACTATCTTCTTCTGCCCCTCCACTGTGATCACCTTGGCATAACAGTTGGGCTGGAAGACAAAATAAAGCCGACTTGGTACCGGAAAGGAGGCAATGTGACAACCACAAATGTTCTCGCAAGTTGTATGAGCACGCCTGAGCACAATGCTCTGTCTGCACAAGGAAAGTACCATTTAAAGCCACCTGCTTGCACCCATTTCTTCTGCAAATGCTGCACAGGCCTCATGCGATGGTATATGAACAGAGGTACAAATGAGGTAACAGAAAGGTCCCAATCAAACACCGACGCACAACATTGGTTGTCCAAGAGGAAAATTATCCTTTTCGCGTGCTCCTCTCACAAACTATCAAAGGAGAGAAAGAAGAAACAAAGAGGCAAGGACAAGGGTTTGCATGCTCCTCATCCATGGGGAAGGGAATAAAATTTGGGGACAAATTTGGGGGGGAATTTGGGGTGGAGGCAGAGGGGGAACAGAAAAGGAGGAAGCAAGTAAAAGTGTCAACCTACAGCAGTGTAAAAAGTCTAAAAAAAACTTTTAAAGACCATTAGCATCATAAAACAATAATATAATCTGAAAAAAAAACAAAAAAAACAATCTAAGTGCACCTGAACAACATAAGGAAAACAATAGACCTATCTCACCAAGAATTCAATGCATGTATGATGCCGCCACAACATTATTCCACAGGAGGAAGGCAGCAGTGTACAAGATGGTTCATGCTGTCTCAGACTCTGCAACCTCAGCCTTCCAGGAAGGTTATCGCACGTGCAGAAAGAATACAGTTTCCTCAATGCATGCTGTGGGTGCGGCGCAACGAAACTGGATGGCGAGATCAATCTATTGTAATAAGCAATTAAAGAGGCAAAGAGTCATCTCATTGAAGAAGACCCGTGACATACGCAAGGGAGTTATGTCACCAAGGGAGCCTGTCATTCAGCCATTTGATCGGAGCAGATTCCTTCGCATATATTGGTGACAAGATCGAAAAAATGCTGACACACCGTCCAGTTTTCTTTTCTCTTAAAGGGATACTTCAACGAAATTTGAAATATTCCCGTCGTGTTCAAAAATAGGTTGAATATGATCCACAATATCCGTAAATGACAATCGCACGTTTGTATTTTGATCCTGGTGGCTGTATTTTTCGTCATAAACGGTCCACTCTGGCAAGCGCTCGGAGAAGGCCCAGTTTAGAGCACGTGACATCCAACGCAATCGTGATGTAGGTCGTCTCAAGACGAGCAAAGCTACGGCGAGGCTGACGTCGAGAGGATGGCCTAGTCGTTCCAGTCACCGAAGCGGCTGCTTTTGTACGAATTTTGAGTGACGGGTTAATCTTCTATAATCTTCTAGGGGGACAATAGCGACTTCTGCGACACACAAAAGGGATTCCCGGGAAGAGGGGAGTTCCTCCTTCCCCCCTTCTCTCGTCGTGGCCGGAGACGAGACAACCTCCGTCACTAGCTGTCAAGGTTCCTAGACGAGCATTACAAACGAGGCGTTAGCGACATCCACCAGGTGCTCTTTGCTAATCGTTTAATTCGTTTTAAAATTCCTTTTCGAGACTTTTTTAACAAGATATTGGTATGTTCCATGTGATACTGCTCTTTTTGAACACATATAGACCAAAAAATGAGCGCCGAAATTTCGTTGTAGTATCCCTTTAACTGCTCAATGTTTACTTGACAAATGTAAAGAATTTGTATGAAAACATCCCTTTACATACAAGGCATAAAAGAACATTCCTCAGACAAATGCACTCGACACATGGGTTCTCGTCTGCCAACTCAATTTGCCCGAAAGCATTGTCTTCCATTGCCTCAATAAAAATAAAAATAAAAATTGAATTTACTTCTAAGACTTTTATTAATTCAAACTCCAGGAAGCCATTAACTTTGTCTCAATTATCAAAAGTTTCCAGTATCAAATATTAATCTAAATAAAAATAAAAATAAAATTATGATTCACCATATGAATGGCTACACATGCAAAGCAGATATTTGATGATTTCCGTACATCGGTCTACTGATCATAGGCAGATATGCCGCACATGAAACATTTCTGAAATGTGACATAAGTTGATTTATACCTCAAAGGTGTTGTTTAACGTAAACTTTAGGTTTGTTCATCAGGCCGAGATGTTGTCTATGTGGACTACTAAGCAGGAGACACGTGAGCAATAAAAACGGGCACCACGCGTCAGTTTTCATAGCAACTTGAGCAGACGCTGTGACGTGAACCTATGCAATGCCGACACGTCAAACCGTCCGTGCAAGTTGCTGTAAAAATCATGAGCCATTTCCCTCTGTGAAGGAGGATAACCAGTGAAGCTGTTTAGCACACGACACAAACCCGCACCTAAGAGCTGGAGGAAACTAGACACGCACGACGGGACCGCCACGCCGGGAGAGCGGAAGGAAAGGAAACTAGACACGCAGGCGTTTGGAACGACGACAAAGAGAGGGTGGTGCGAGTGTAAACACGGCCGACGCAAGTCGCACAGCAGCAAATCTTTGAGAAACCTTTATTATCTACTTGTGAGTCTACTGATCTTAAAAATGGTGCCTATTGATAACTAATCATCTACTGAATAGACCTATTTCTAAATTACCCAAGCATCAAGGAGAATGCAGGGAATGGTCTTCCACGTGCCACTCATGCCGGCATCTGCAGCAGTAACTGTTCTAAAGCAAAAGCCTAAGACAAATGACATCTTCCAGGTGCCTTCCTCAAGGCTTTATCTTAGTTATTTACTTCGAATCTTTTATACAGGAAGGCGTGCGCGTGCGGCGCGTACGGCGGTATGAGCTTAGTTTTTTAGTCACTGCACACGAAAAATCCACAGAACCCTAGCCATAAACAGCTTCGCTGTAAAATTTCTGCGTGGTGCCCTGTTTTCATAGCTTATGTGTGCCCCGTTTCAGAGCCGTATATGTAGACAGTTTGGTTATTCGTTGGAAAGTATAGGAAACAAATGAGGAGGCGCCATTGGCCGAAAGCGGGCAGGGCGTGTTCCAGCGCATCTTCAGAAATTTGAATGTGGCCAACCTGAAGCCAGAAATAATACCCTGGTGGTGGTCGCGAGAAACAAACTTGATAAGTGCATCAAAGTAACTCTCGATGACTGAAAATACGGTGCATGTAATGTTTCAATCACGGTCATCCAAAATCATGGTGGAAGAGAGCGACTAGCGGAACAATCGACATAATCCGTACACCAAGCGCCGAAAATCTGCCGTCCGAGCGGTCACACTCTGTCCGAGCAAAACAGGGTTTGAGCGGCGCATTAGTTTCTTACATCTTTCTGCATGACCATGATCGAAACATCACTTTTACGCGCTTATTAAAACCATATACGAATATATACCTTTGATTAAAACAGTTTCTCGCTACCTTCGCTATGAGATTCTTTGAGGCTTCTGGTTGGCCAAGAGAGCATGCCAAGCCCACTTTCTGCATCTGGTGCACGCCCTGGCTCTGCCCGTGCCTCCCATTGACCAAACTCTCTGTATACACGACTCTGCCCTGTTTGAGCCCCGTTGACTGCGCTTCTCACCGAGCACCGGTGCACCGCGGAGAAGCTACATCCACGGAAGCAAGCTCTGCGAGTGTTGCTTCTCTGCAGTGCACCAGTGCTCAGAAAGAAGCACACTCAATGGGGCCGCGGGAAGAAAAAGTATGAACTGGACCAAAACGCCGTACGAATTAAGCGGCTTATCAATGCATTAAAAACATGGAGTGGACAACCAAAATTTTTACAGCGGAGCTGTTAAGGGCCACTTTCCCCAGGATTGTGTACATCCTCAAATGACCTGATGACACAGAACTCTGGACGGCTACCACCATCTATGAGCGACGGCGGCAACCAAACAACCTGCTTAACGGGAATCTGATTGCCGTTCAAAGATGGCGGCAATCTTTCGAGCCTCTCCACTCTGGTTTGCCGACTTGTGGCCAGCTATTACTTCATTCGCACCATAGTACAGCTTCGCTGGTCTTCCTTCTTCACCAAAGTGGAAAGGCTGAAAGTTCAGTATGAAATATCTGAGTTTGAATTATCTCAAGCCTACTGTAGTGTCTCTTCTCATAAAAATTTACCACAGACGTGAGACAGTTCAATCTCCTCTGTGACAGGCTTGAACTGATATTACTTCCAGCCTACATAAAGAAAGTAATGACGGAAAAAAGCTTTTCTAGGCATGAGGTGCATGTGCATTGTGTTTGCATGTATGCCTGACTGTGTTGTCTTTTCAAAGCAATAGCTTTATGGGCGACACTTAGCCGAGATTTCGTCCTCATAGGTTGTTGTGTCCCCGCGCGCGTGAAGAGTGGAAAAACCCTTTTTCTCTTCCCTGTTGCCGCGAGAAGAGGGCAGCCCTGGGGCGTCCTACCAAAAATGGTGTGATGAAGGGAGATTCTTTGTGTCGTCTGCTTGAAAGACTGGTTTTCAAACATTACTCGCGCTATGCGAAATCCCACTATGGCAATATCCAGTTGCTACGCGTAATGTTGAATGGTTTTAGAAACTTCCACCATGCCTACCCACTTCACGGATCACCGGTGACAGTCGTCAGTAGCATCCACAATGCCAACTACGACGGCCATGAGAATTACTAACTACGCTGCACCTCTGTCCTCAGGTACGTTAAGGCGCCATTCCACCCGCATCGCACAACCGTGCTACAGCTGTCACTTTCGTTTCTTTGCATATTTTGGGCAAAAAATAGGACTTTTTACTGTGAAAGCATTAAATGTCTCATGGAGAGAGCCGACGTCATCAGCCGTGCCAAACGGCAGATAAATTCCCGAGGCCGCAATCCGAGGCATCCCAGCTTTGAAACCACGCAGAAAGCCAAGCAAAACGGCAGTGATATGAAGCCGCCATGCGTCAGTTTCAACTAGCGCCTCCCCATGGCGCTGCGTGTCCGCGAGGCACTGGTTTCACCGCTCCACGCCCAAGGTCAGCGTGGTGAGAAGAGCGTGCGTGCTCGACTGTCGACGCGAGTACTCCGCAGATGAAATAAGGGAACAGAGGAACGGCATGCATGCTCTCGCATTTACAACTCATAAGAAGTGCTTAGGTGTCCCTCGAGCCTTCCATGTTCACACGAGGTGCCATCCTCTAGCCGCGAATGGCACCTCATGTACCAGACAAACTCCCGTCGTCTGCTTTCACTCCTCGCCCGGGCAATGCATGACGGGATTGCATTCTGACGCACGTTTGATTCTCTTGGTGTGGCGAGTGCATGCACATGTACGGTCTCCGCCTTGAAACAAACTCTGAGACTGTAGCCACTCGTTAAGTGCCAGCCAAAACGAACTCGCTCCACGCTGCAATTGGGCACGCATGGGCACGAGCGAGTGAAACCAACTCGCTATTAATTCATCAATTGTGTAACACTTTACCTTGGTGTAAATTTCACTATCATATCACAAAGCAGCTCGTGTCATTTTTTTTTTCTTCTTTCTGTTGATCATTTAACGTATTCACATAAATTCTAGCCTATTTGCATCAACAAATTATTGTAGAAAAACTTTTTTTAAGAATAAACGCTTCATTTTCTTTTTTGTTCATCATTCAACGAATATCTCTTATAGCACCACAAATATCGCAAGGAAGTTGAGAGACAAAGTTGAGATGAGGACGCAGGGGGACTTACGTTGCAGCTGTGGTTTATGAAGCGCGCCAAGTTGCCGCACTTTGTGGCGTCGATGATGGTCTCGACGTCCACTCGGAACAGGTAGGAGCTGCCGATGCCGATCTGCGTGTAGTGCTGCTCCCGCCGGTCGGCCATGACGGGCCGCACCATCTGGCCCACATACTCAATGACCATCTCGTCAGCGGCAATCGGCTCCAGGGCAAACAGGCCCCAGTCGTGGATGCGGCTCTTGGCGAACTTGAGCTGCTTCTTGCGGAACTGCGCCCAAACGAATGCAACCCTTAGTGGTACTCTTTGCAAAGGCGCAGCAAACGGGGGTACCGAAAATTCAGAGGGAATTTATGCTATCACATAACGCGTGTCACAGCAACGGCAGCTCTGCACTCGCGTAATTCGCTATCATTGTGGTGTCCTCGCCATTTCCACGCCTCCTCCCGAGCATGATTCTCGGGATCTTCGCGCCATTTTCGCTTCTGCTCTCGATTACACTCCCGCACCTGGTCCGTACTCGATGTCGGCTGCCGCCACAGTCAAAGTGAGACTGGCGGGGACTCTCTTTCGAATGGCTGGACACCAGCAAGCGCTCGTCGCTTTTCGACGCGAGCTCTGGCTGCGCATGCGTGCTCGAGGGACCGGGGGGTTTTCACGAAGGACGACAACGCAATTCCTCAGGGACGTTCTTACTAACGGCTGTCGCCGTAATGCGAGGTCAGCAGAGCTCAGCAGACCCCAGCAGAGGAGTGAGGATTCATTTCAACCCCTTGGGGAGCTTTTGGTGTGCAACCAAAGTTTTGGCAATGCAGGGGTGGAACTCATGAAATGCATTTGGGAGCAGCCACGGGAGCAGCTGAAACCGCTGTTTTGGAGCAGGTTGGGAGCAGCTAAAACTACATTCTGGAGCAGGCTAGGAGCAGCTCAGATCAGTTTTCACTGCACTTCAGCTTGTGTCTTAGACGAGCACGGGAGCAATTTCAATTGTGCTTAGCAGCACAGATGAACACGAGTGGTTAGGGACCTAGGTAATGGGATAACAGTGTAACAGATGCCAAAACTTGAAACTTTGTGAGCCTTAATGAGAATCAAAAAGCAAGTACCATATGTTTCTGAAGATGGTGTCCTTGATATTTTCTGAGTGGCTTTCAGCTGCTCAAAATGCAAACCAGCACTGCTTATCGCACAACCCCCACGTGCTCGACATAGTAATTATATGTGCGAACCACATGACGTGCATAAGCAACGGACGTGCAGTTGCGTGGGGGAACAGGGCAACAAATTTCGAGTTTATCCCATTGTGCAACTCAATATCGAAGCAGCAGACTACAATTAACGGAGTTATCGTATTCAAAGCGATTAGCGGGAGCAAGGTTAAAGTACGCCGAGCAGATCTACCGCTGGCGTGACAGCAGCTGGCAGGCAAGGTTTCGGATCGGACCGCGTTTCAGTTCTATCAAATCACGATTTATCTTGCGGGAATGCTGTTTCAACTTCTAACGATGAAGTACTAAAAGGAGTATTTTGCTCATTTGTTTTCAATTGGCTGACGTCCGGATCCCGGGCTGCAGAGCCTCAGGCAAACGGACGCTTAACGACTCGACCTCACCTCGGCCGACTTGCTTAACAGCTTATGGTTGAAGAATAACAGTCCAGTCGCAGGTGTAGCGATTCGAATCCGATCCCCGAGTTTTTTCGCGCGCTTCCGACTCGGGATACACAGGGAGAATAAACAGAACAAAGGATTGCAAGGCCGACCAAGCTAAACGGGCTAATTGTTGCCAATCGAGTCGATAGGAACCGAAACCAAGACAAAATACTTTTTTGTTTTTGGCGCACGTTGTGCGATTTGGTGCATAATGGCGCAAGGTATTGGCTGTGGCGCAGTTTCCGTGAAATGGCGCAGGATGGCGCAGACAAATGCGTCTGGCGCAAAATGGCGCAAATGGCGCAGCCGTTCCACCCCTGGCAATGTGCCTCTGTCAGATTGTGGGCATTTCGGCCAGCACATCGCCTCGGAGCCACTGAGGCGGCTGTGTACCAAAAAAGGGTCTTACAGTTGCCTGCGTGAACCAGATGCCGGATCTAGGGAGTTTAAAACATGTCTAAAGCATTTTGCGGTAATCTTTCTGTGCACTTCATCGTCTGGTCTGTTTGAGTTTTTGTGCTGCCTTTATAAAACACCAAAATTAAAAAAAATAATAATAATTTGCTTGCATAACATTAGAAAGGGCCTCTCAGCATTGGAGAGGAGGAGCAGAGACAAAGCAAAGAAACAGCATAATGCAATAAACACTTTGTTTCACACCAGTATACAATCTCCAGCCACTGCTGTCTTACAAACGAGAATGACTGCTTGCAATAAACTAATGTACCATAGTTACTCGATTTAAGTCGACCACGAGCATAGGTCGATGCCTTTATATTAAACTCGCCGAGAATTAAAAAAAAAATAATTAGAATACAGGTCTACCATTCTTTTTAAAGAACAGAGGTAACTTTGGGCGAAAGAATAGAACAAACCTTTATTTACAGCGCTCTCAGCTAAATCACAGCGCGAGGCCAAAAACTTAATCATCATCAGAACTTCCGGACATGTCATCGCCGTCGAAAGCTTCGTCAGCTTTGTCAACATACTCACAAGTTCACAACACTACCTCACTGACACCGGTGCAAAATGGCGACAACAAGAAACGAAAGAAAGTGGAGACGGGCGAAGCAACGAAAGGTAAATATAAAGACGAGAGCACCGCTGCAAACCGCTGCAAGCCACCGGAAGCAACAGCAATGCCGCGAGCATCAAGAAGCGAAACCTCTGCATTTCCTTTGGCAGTGACTATTTTGTTGTTCATCGTCAAATATCAGCAAAAATTATTTCGACGTCTGTGACGTCACTTCTATAAAACACTAAAATAGTGGCTTTCTTATTTCGACGTCCTCCTTCAATGCAGCAGCCGTAGCAGTGTTAGCCGTTTTGTGGTTTCGTTCTGTTTAGTTTCTGATGGTGTCGTCGGTGTTGTGACAGCATTTCGACGGACAGTTTCAGTCCTAGTTGGCAGTGGAAATGTCTTATTCAGTGTGTGTGGAGGACTGGCTCTACAATTTATCCTTTCGGACGTGACACGCCCGGTGGTGATGTTGTGAGTGTTCTGAGCTCGCATCTCGGCACGCGTCTCACATTTTGAATTCCCAACAGGGGCCAGCAGGATATCCCCTGCACGTAACAAATGTGAGTGCATACACTACGTAACACTGAGAAATTTGGCACGCTTTTTGTGCCTCTATATCATGCGAGCACGTCTTCGTACGGCTGTAGTCTCGCTTCGCATCTGGCTCCCGCCCTGTTTTTACCCAGGTTTCGTGAGTTGCTTGTTTAGTTTAGATTTTCTGTTTGGTTCGTGTATAACGAGCGGGTTAACTACGAAGCGATCGGGATGTTAAATAAAAGGTTGCGAGGGCAAACTTTGCCTCCTTGATGTTTCTTGACCAGTGCAAACAAACAAAGGCTCTGGCGCGGTAGTATGATATGCATACATTTTCCAATCAACTGCACATTTTATGACATGGTACTCAGCTCGTTTGTATATACAAATCACGTGAAATAAATAATGATAAGCATCGGTGCCGCTTTCTGTAATGTTTGGCACAACCAAGCAAACGTTACTTCAGGCCTGATAGCTGATGTACTTTGAGAACGTTGTTTTGCATTCCACATCACTTAAAAAAACCACGACGCCGCCTACAAGCAAGATTACATTTTTTCCACCGCCACCTTCGATCGCTCCCCAGTTCAGACTCCGAAGCTCAAGTTCGAGAAGTTAAAATAATGACAAAAACATTTTGACAGGGGACGTCAGAATGTTTTTGAAGATTACTTCATGTCTTCAGGAAGTGGCGTCATGGACGTCAAAATAACATTGAAAATTATTTTGAAAGTGGACATCGAAATAGTCACTGCTATTTCCTTTTGCTGCGCATCCACGAAGGGGAGAGGGATGGAGGGGGAGGGGGCAAGGTGGGTGGCAGGTTGTGTCTCCTTTGCCCCCTTGCATCGCGAGGGGCACGCATGAGCGGCGCCAACCTCGCCAGTTGCAGACAGGCGCGAAACCCGACGCCCGAGGGATGCGTGCAAGCGGCGGCACACCGGCTGCTGCTGTTTCGGTTGTTTTTGTGCACCGAAAACTTTCTGAAACAAGAAGCGGTGTGGCGCTACTCCGACGCCAGCTTGGTGACTCGTTAGCTCCATGCACTTGGTAGGGTCGCGAATGTAGGTCAAAATTCTCTAATCATGATTGTAAGTCAACCCTTCATTTTTGACAACATTTCTAAAAAAAAAAAAAAAGGTTGACTTATATTTGAATAAATACGGTATGTACACCGACTCGTTATTGATAAATGAGCTCGTGGTCACATGAAAAACTGTGGGCATTGCATATATGCAGATATATGCAGGGGGCTATCTCTGTATCACCAACATCACGAGCAAAGTGAACCTATAAGAGCGACCAAACTACCCCAAACTACACTTGCACTGCACAAAATGTGTGTGCCCAGCAAGCCCGTTCAAAATGCGGTGCTTGCTCTTGTAGCCTTTGCTATGCTGTAGCTTCAAAAAACAAAGGCACGCGCCTAATGCCCCCAATTTGGGTGTGCAAGACCGGAAAAGCATCACCACCAGAAGTGACGTCAAAGGCACGAGTTTCTGTATACTATGGTTACCTGATCTGATTGGTCCCTGTAATTTGTGCTTAGAATTACAGCATATTTCCAAAATCATTATGCTTCATAAGGCAACATTTATGCAAAGCAAACAATGTGAAAAAGTGTGTCTCACAAATACCGCCCTACAAACAATCCGATGGCGTGGCACACACGTCGTCATGGCATGTGTACCAACCAATGGTCACTAGAAGACATCACGGGGCATTCGGCAGGTGGCACCAATAACAGCACGTGCTTAACTATGTGCTGTGATTGCTCATATTGGCCTGGACAGTACAGGAGGCTTTCGCGCACAATAAACGTTAAATGTCTACTATTATAAAGCTCAAGCTCACGATAGATTTGACACTACACTTGACAAAAACAGCGAATAGTCTGAACATGGTACAGTAGAACCTTGTTGATACGATCTCGGTTCATACGATTTCCCGTCTCGTACGTTCACAATCGAGGGCTTGAAAAATGTCCCATAGAGTTACGACTGGTTCATACGTTTCTGGATAATACGATTTCTCGGGAAGTATGTCCAAAGTTTCGCCAAGCAT